ATGAAAATGACATGTCATTCAATATTGCTAGGAGTCTATCATGGATCAATATGCTTCGATCAGTTGAGGGTTATGGACGAGGACTGCAACTTCCAAGTATGTATGAGTTGGGGACAGAAATTTTAGATAAGGAGGTCAGGACAACATCAAAGATGGTGGATGAAGTTAAGAAGACTTGGGTTGAGACAGTAGTTACCATAATGTTAGATGGTTGATCAAATATTCATCAGAGTTTCATTTACTTCTTGATCAAAAATTCATATGAAACTATTTTTTTGAAATTAGTTGATGCTTCAAATTTTATAAAAGATGCACAACTGTTGTTTGAAATATTGAATGATGTTGTGGAGGAAGTAAGATAGTCCTTAGTGGTACAAGTTGTTGTTGATATTACAAGTGCATACAAAGCTGCATAGAGATTGTTAATGGAGATGAGAAAGCACCTTTACCAGATTGCATGTGCTGCACACTACATTGATTTAATGCTTGAGAGGTTGGGATAGTTGTCTCAGCTTAAATGAGCTCTATTGAAGGCCAAATTCGTTAGTAAGTTCATTTACAATCACCCTAGGGTACTCAACTTGATGAGAAAATTTATTGAAAAAGAAATTATTGGACTAGTTGTCAATAGATTTGCAACTGCATATTTATTATTGCAAATATTTAAGGAATTAAGGCAGATTTTTTCTTCTGAAGAATGAGATTAAAATTTATAAGCCGAAAATAAGGAAAACATATTAAGAAGATTGTTATAAAAGATGATTCATTTTGGCGTAATATAAATTATGCTTTGAAGACAATATAATATTTAGTTAAGGTGGTTAGAATGGTTGATGGTGAGAGGGCTCATGCTATGGGATTTATTATGAAGCAATGAATAGGGTTAAAGAAGATATAATAAAAGATTTGGACGGTCAAGAAGTTGCCTACAAAGAAATATGAAAAATTATAGATAAAAAGTAAGATTGCCAATTACATCAACACTTACATGCTGTTGCATACTATTTAAACTCTTAATATCATTATGATAAATATTTCCATGTTGATAAAAAGATAAAAATTGATTTATATGCACGTATGGATAGACTTTTTTCTGAAGGAGACTATCTCAAAAGTGAATGATTAACTTGAGGATTTTCATTTGAAGAAGGGAATATTTGAATTTAGAGCACTGCAAACATGCTACAACACAATTTCATAGTATGTTTATAGTTTGTATATTTATAATTTTAAATTTAATATTTATGTTTGTCAAATTAACGAGGTGAGAATGAAAGTCGGATGGGTATAACATTTCATTCAATTTCATTAGCAATTTAACATTCAACTTCTCAATACAACTGAAGAGCCACTATTACAAAATTTTTATAAAACTAATACAATTTTTCAATCTAAATAGTTACATCAATTATAAATTACCTATTTTCATTTGCGTACCATCTTCTATAGATGTACACTTCTCTTTCGGCCATTTCTTTTTTGCTGGAGACTTACCTGAAAATGTTAGTATAATGGGTTGAGTTTACGATGTAAACTCAGTTGGTAATCTTTTTATATATAACATCTAAACATGTACAAAATACAATGCAAGTTCTTTTTCTCATTTCTTATACAATATTAGAACTTATACTAACATTCAGATAACATTTAGTATACTTCGTATCATTTTTCCTTTCATTCATTTATTCTTTTATACCTTTCATATACATTTCATAACAATTTAACATTTATTTCTTTTCCAATTCAATTAATACTTGAGAACCATCTTAATGTACCACTAAAGATACAACTATTTTCTTTTCATTTTTCATTTTTTTTAAACGTGCAAGGGTACATTGTTCTCAGCCAGTACAATACGAGGATGAACTTCTATAACTTGCATGCATATCCTTTTCCGCTTTTCATTTATGCTTTTATTTATAATTTATAACTTATATAATTTCTTTTCTCATTCTTTACTTGTATTATATATATATAATCTTTCATATATTCATATAACTTTGCATACTCTCATGATAATCTATGTATATTTTATTATCAAATATACATTTGAATTTACATTGTCTTATTCATAATAGTCTCAAAAAAATAAGTAAAACAATTATATAAAATATTCATTCAAAATGGAAATGGAAATACAATAATGAAATTATACACAACTGTAATTATTTACTTTGAATGTTTTGGCTTCAATTTCTTTCAAATCTTTGACTCTTAAGACAATCTTCCTTACTGCGATCTACATACAAACCTATAACTATTACCATCTTTTAACTCAGCATTCTGATAGGAAATACTTGAGTTTGTAAGCAATCCTAGCAATAATTGATCAAAATAGAGGAAATAACACAAAAATTTTGGTGAAATCAACCCAAAAATGATAGATTGCAATGGTGGAATCAAAACAAAACAAACACAAAGCATGATAAAATTGATCCTCAATTCAAAAGAAGGATCGTTCTCTCTCAATCTTTAAACAATGAGTCTAGAGCCCAAGACGCCAAGGAACTCCAAGTGAATAACTCAAAACATGCATGCCCTAACCCTAGCCTCTCATGTTCTTTAAATACAATTCTTCCTAATAAAAAAGTTTCCTAACATAAACCTATTTCAAATTTACTTCCTTAAGCATTAGCCGCCCCTTCCTCTTTGTAGTTGTCGCCCAATGGGGGGCCCGCTATGCTTGAGCGGACATTAAGGAGGCGGCTTAGCCCACCTCCTATAAAATAAACCGCCTCCTTAAAAACAGAACAGGCCCCTCCTGGGCCGGTTTGGTTGGTTCGGTTCTAGGGAGAACTGTAACACATTCTCATATAAATATTGCTTTAATAAATTCTTTCATCCAATCTCCCTTTTGAGATATGTTATTAGCTTCAGTTATCACCTTCGTATATGAGGTTAACCAATTCTCCACTATTCCAAAATACTTTTTAACTTATATTAACCTTTGCTAATGATAACGTTAAGTTATTTACTAATATGATTACAACATGGTAATGATAACATTAGGTCATTTACTAATATGAGTACAACATCTACTGAAAATCTCATGCAATCACAATTACCTCAATAAGTCTTTTTCTCTTTCTCTTTCAATTAAGACTCTCCCCATCATATTTCTCCTTCCTATTTGTTAATCACTTATTATGTCACTAATTAGAGAAAATAAAATATTAATAATTGAATGTAAAAGAACAATTAAATTCACTTACTCCTGTCGATAGAAATGAAAATGCACTGATTTGTTTATCTCAAAATTTCCTTCACCTACTTTTTCAATTCCTTCTATCTCCATTTAATATACTTATCTTTTATTAGGATTAATTACAGAAGGAAAAAATGCCAAAATAAATGAATTTGAAAAATGTACCTCCTCCTTCATCCTCTCAGTCGCTTCTCTTGACAGAAAATCTCTTGCGTTTTATTCTACAGGAAAGAATGGAAATGGACTTATCTCCCATGTACACGATCCTTCGCGCTCATAACCGAAAATTGAGCCATCTAGCCTCGCCCCTGCATGCGTGCGGACCGACTGGGTCGCATCTCTGCTCTTGTTCCGCTCGGTTGCCCTGTACTATCGTGTAGAAGCCGGTTCAGTTGAATCGCCTTAACCGGTTCTTACAATGTCCAAGTTTCCTACTTTAATCTAAATTTAAATACACTTTTTATTTTCATGTAGAACGTTGACGGGCTCAAATTGGAGATGATGTTCCTGAATTAAAAGTATTTATAGTTAAAGATCTTAGCCTAACATGTTCCACTTTTACATGCGATCAAATTTATACAAAGAGAAGAAATCGATTGGCTGCACACGACGAATTAGAAAACTAGTATATGCTTTGTTTAACAAAAAACTAAATGATAGATATCTCTAATTACAGAAGCAAGGAAATAATGATAATTAATTAGATCTTTTACTTGTTGATGATTTACAATCTAATGATGAATGAGTTACTCCTAAGGATACTGATGTTCTTGAAATTAAAATTGAAGGAGAAACTCATATCAATAAGAACAATGAAGTAATCACTATAGATATTGAAAAAGTCTATTGAATTAGGGTTATCTTTTACTTCTCAAGTATATAAAAGAAAAAAAAAACAAAGTGAGATTGGAGTTTTGAAAAAAGTAAAAAAATAATCTTAAATATAATGAATTATTTTTTATTATTATATTATTAATTTATTTTAGAACTAATGATTTGTCAACTCATATAAGGGATAAAGGAAAGAAATTTATACATGAAGAAGATTTTGAGGATGATTTTGACATAAATTATGAATATTCTTTTGAAGACAATCAATGTGATGATGAGACTGCCTTAGGTCTTGATCCTAAGACCATGCTTTATTTTAAGTGAGTATTTATTTTAAATCTTGTGTTCCAGTAATATTATCTTCAAACAAATCATTATATTGATAGGCTACTTAATATTTTGCCATTTTTTTGAATTATTTATAATTTTTAAAGTACTTTATTTTTCCGTTTTGAGGCTTACGCCTCTAGGCTTATGCCTCTCCTTGCTTAGATAAAATGCTTCAATTCTCGATTTCACTTGGTTTGGGCTATTCTTCTTCCTTTGTACATGAATTCTTTTTTCCTATTTAGTTGTCTATGCGAATGACTAAGCTAACTCTAGCTATTTTTATCATTAATAATTGATATAATGCTGATTTGAACCACGGGTAAATTTTACTTTTAAAGTTTGAGTCTCGATTGATTCTTATAATTTGAATTTCTAAGGATTTTTCTTTGACCTTGTAAGTTTGTTGTTTGAGCATTTTGGTTTCTTCTAGGTAGGCATAAGGTGTAGAGCTATCCTGTCTTCATGTAAGCAACTGAACGAAGCTACTGCCTTATAGCCTTGATTTTCCTTTTGGCACATGTACATTCTTGTACTATTTTTCACTTCCAAGCTTGCTTTATGGTTCGTTCTGCTACTCTTTCAATTAGGTAAGAATTTCTAATTTTTTTAATGATGTTGTCTTCCTAATCTGCAGCTTCTTGTTCGGCTTGTCTTTGAGCGTGGAAGTACTGATGCAGCTGCAAAGGTCGCTGACATCATGGGTGTTGATTTTGTACACGAAGTCATAACTGCTTGTGTACCCCCAGTTTTTCCGCCAAGATCTGGTCATGGTTGGGCTTGTGTTCCAGTTTTACCTAGCCTTTCTAGAACGAATTTGGGGAAAAAGATTCTGCTGGCTAGACCTAGTTTACATGGTTCATCTCCCCAAGCACAATGCAATCCTCTTTATCCACTACAGTTAGATGTTGTGAAGCACCTTGCTAACCTTTCTCCTGTAAGGGCTGTTTTAGCATGTGTTTTTGGCTGTAATATACTATCTACTGGAAGTGAGTCATGTATTTCTAGCTCGTTGAATGATACTTTTGTGCAAGCCCCAGATACTGAAAGGCTATTCTACGAGTTAGCACTTGATCAGTCTGAGAGGTAACGTGCCATGACCATGGATGTTGTGCATCAGCGATATCTTTCATGTTTTGATTATTTGAAACATGCTACAGGTTTCCGACATTGAACCGGTGGATACAAATGCAGTCAAATCTTCATAGGGTATCCGAGTCAGCAATAGCTACAAGAAGTGATACTGAAGTTTCTGTTGCTAGAGCTGAGGTTAAAGTTTCTGTGAAGCGAAGTCGTGACCCTGAAAGTGATACAGAATCTGAAATTGATGATATGACTAGTCTTATTTCTACATCGGATCTTAATATTCAAGATCACATCGCTTCTGAAGTGCTGCAAAATTCCTCAACAACTGACAATGTTGAACAGAATTCTTCTGTTTTTCTTTCATTTGATTGGGAGAATGAAGCGCCTTATGAGAAAGCTGTGGAGAGGTATTTTCCATAGCTATTTTAATTGTTTGGTTTATGCATTAACAAACTGCTGCTCTGTCCAGTTTTTCTTTTAGTAACATTATTGTGCATGCACTGAGCTTTGCTTGATTGCCTTTTCTAGCAATGAAATCTGCTGAGAAGTAATTAAATTCTCTAGAATTGTTTGGATAATTATCACAGAAAAATCTAAAAGTTAAGCATGAATATAATCGCTTTGAGTTTTTTAGTTCTTAAAAGTTACCATGAATGCTTTAGCAATATTCTAGAATTATGTAGAGCTTGCTAAGAAGGGGGTGCTTACTCATAAATAGAGGTGTTGATCTCCTCTTTTATGACACACTACAACATCAATTTTGCATAAGTGTCAAAGAATATGTTTCTCCTTCCTCTTCCCTTTGCATTGTTCTATGTTTAGGCTCCTTAGCTGTCTCTCATTCCCATTTCCTCCTAAGAGTTGGTCACTTTCCAAATATCCTATCGTGGTCTTCGAGCCTCATTTTGACTGTGGCTGTTTGATCTAAATATGTCCAGCAATAACATCTCTCCATCAATGGCCGGTTCTTCTGCATCAAATTCATCCATGATTGGTTATGGTTGACAATTGTCTCCATGCATAATATGGTTGATTCTAACGCTTGTATTTTACTTTTTTTTTTTCCTATTTTTAAAAAATATTACTATGATATTGGGGTGCAAGCGACTCTTTGATCATGGGGTTGTAGTTATTTATCAATGCATGTTATTAAGAGCCAAAAGAAAATAAGAGCTTACTCTTTATAGAAGAATGTAAGAAGCTTGAGGACGACATAATGAAGTATGCAAAAGCATTGTGCATGATTCAATAACCACTTGCAAAAAAATATATTCCCCAGAATTGTACGAACGGCAACAGGTGTGAGCTATCATGACTCAGCCCAAGTGTTTCATGTACCGAAATGGGAGCATATGGTCAGTTGGTAGGTTGAAACCTGATGCATGCATTATTTCAGTTATTTTCGTTTTATTGTAATTTGAATATTATAATGTTTGTTTTGTTTTTTTATGCTATCCTATGATGGAAAACATCCAATAATCATGAGCAGGATGTGCTTGGGCATGACAAATCTTGGGTGTGCTAGCTTCTTGGGTTATTTGGTCTTTGGGCTGCTTGTTGCCTCTCGGGTTGGGCTTTGGCTGCTCTCGGGTTGGACCTTGGCTTCTTTGGTTTTGACCTGAAAATTTGGGAACTACTTTGTCCTAGCTCATTATTGCTTGAGCTGATATTTTGCTCAATATTTGGAGGATTTATTGCAATATTTAGCTCATTAATTTGAAATGGATTTCTTCCTTTTAGCTCATTATGTGGATTTGGAACATGCCTCTTCCCCTTCTTTGTGCCCCCTCGGTTTCCTGCTGGTGTTGTTTCCCGTGGCTAGTTCTCCTCCCTTTGCTGGGTGCTGGTTCCGGTCCCCTGTGTTGTCTTTTCAGTTTCTTCCCTGGTTGCCTTCCCGTGGCTGCTTTACCCGATTCCTGTGCTGCCTTTTTCGGTTGCTGTTCTGTTTTGCCTGCTGGCCTTCCTCTTCCCCTTACCTAATTGGTTCGGTTGGAGGTGAAAGTTGGCTATTTGGCTCCCATTTTCTCTTATAAATTAGAGATGTATTTGTCATAAAGAAGTTGTTGATTATCTTTCGAAAAATTTCTAAAAACCCGAGGGTTTCTTCTCCTTTCTTTGGAAAGCTTGAGAGCTTATTCCAATTTTCTCTTCCTCCTCTCTATTTCATCTTGGCTTCTAATCTCTTCTTCTCTATGCAAGTTTCACTCTACTTGTATTCTTGTTCTTGAGTTATTGGAGATGTTTGTTGCCAGAATTTGGTGACATTTCCTGGAGAAGTTTGGTTGGACATTGGACCTTGTTGTTGTGGTGACCCTTGGTTTACAAGCCCTAAGCACTTATCATATTTTACCTACTTTTCGTTGCATGTGAGAAAACCGCTTGCCGGTTATTTGGAGGATAGTGTTTTTATTTTATAATTTTGTTTCGTTTGTCCAACTTTTCGTTTGTTTTGGTGTTTGTTTGGATGTCCGCAATCTAGATTGAATCGAGTTTGATTTTTATTGTCCAAGTGTTCTCCTATCTTGACTTTTCTTTCTAGTTTGCCTACATCACAACCTAACATACCTTCTATGTAAACATAACACTTTTAAGCAAATTATTTTCTTTACATATAATTTTAACATCACAAAAATGCCACTATGCAAAAGATTTTTCATTCATCAATAGGATAACATATATCTTGAAACAATACATACAACATATACCGGGCATTTAAATGGAAAGTATCTATGCTTTATTATGCATATAACAAAATTATACAAATATTTAATATTAACTACTTCTTGCTTGTGTTAAACCTGTTTTTTTCATCTATTTTAGTCTATTGGGGATTTTTCTAAAAAAATATTTATCAACTAATGCGGTGAGGTATGCGCATATAACTCAGTGGGTATATTACAATTCTAAACCATATTCATTCAAAAGGAATAGATACAATATGCATGTTAGTCATTATATTTAAGCTATAAAGAAATTATTAACATGCCTTCTATTTCAATAACAATTATGATCATAAATATTTCTTAGCAATTAGCGTTATGTCTAGTAATAGAATAATATCATTCTATTTGGCATTACGGTTTTACATATATACTAAGCTTTTAATATCATAACTTATTTGTATCTAATCCATGATTCATTGCCGGTATTGCTGTGTGTAGCTCATCTCTACTATTGTTTGAGAAGGAAGGTTAAAGTCATGAATGTGTGGGTACGTTGGCATCCTTTGTTTGTATGGTAAGGGGTTGACTCCATTCAATATGCAGATACATTCATATTATGTGCTGTCTTTTTTATTCTATTATATATATAATATCTATTTAAGAGGAAAATTGCAATGTTATATAATATAAGCATTTAAGACATACTATGAGAACATACTTCACTTAAAGAAATATGAATGATTATTTGCATGATAGATAAATTACTATAAACTAATTGAGATGAAATATTCTAATAAGAATAATTTTCTTACACTTATGAAAGATAATGAATCGTAAACATATATATTTAATGCCGCAGGTTTATAAAAAAGTGACTTTACTCTTGTTAGAAATGAGATCACCAGCCTTGAGATGTGCAAGTACAATTTACAACCTTTTCTTCGTCTCCTAGAGTAGATATCCTTATATGTCATTCCAAATTCTAATATACAACGCATGCACATTAAAAATCATTTGAATTCTTCTTTAATTATATACTTTCATAACTCGTAACTTAATTTATTTTAATATTCATGATGTTTGGATTACAACTTCAATATCTTGAAATTACTATACAATATATCACATAATCTCATGATAAAACCTAACTACAAGACTTCCTGACTAGAGATATAATTGAACGTATAAATTTAAATGTGACTTTTATTATAGATTTATTTTATTTATCAGATTTATATGTGATCTTTATAAAACTTTTTATTTACAAATTCATTTTTAATGCACTTCTTTTAAACCCTTAACCCTAGAATTTCAAAGAAACCTTTAAAGCTAACATGAATAAAATCATTTATAGGAAGAAAATATAATTATAGAAGTCCTTACACATGTAGATTATAAATGTAGAATTTAATTATTTTGGTCCAACATTCTTTTAATATATCAAAAAGTACTGCTTAATGTCTTAAACCTCCTTTCAAAAAGTTAACGCAAGTTTTTTTTTTTCATGGAGTTAGGTTTACATGCAAATTGAAAACAGATTTCCTTCATATAGTGTCAAGATTCAATATATATTTCTTGATATCCTAGCTTAAATTTCAAGACATTGTTTTCAAGGCAGAGAATAGGAAACTTAGATTAGGCTTAAGTTTACTTTAACTCTTGCTTGAGAGGAGGGATGTTAAAAAAAATGAGTTTCTAACTCCTCAAATCGATCTCTTGCTTGGGTTTGGTGTTCACACCTTGGTCGACACCCTCATGCTCGAGAACTTGCGACATTTAATTCCATCCAAACCCGTTCGTTATTCCTTGACCTCTGCTCCCTCATTCTTTTGCGCACATCATCCGTTGCAGCTCTATCTATCTCTCTCTCTCTCTCTCTCTATCTCTCTCTCTCTCTCTCTTACTTGGTCTTACTCTCTCACTAAAGGCATTACCATCCCCTTAGGGTTTGTTCAATTAAATTAATCCCTCTCCCTTTTACTTTATAATATATACACACACACATATCTACATACATAAAGATATATATATATATATACACTCATTATATTGAATTATAAGAAATATAGGTAAAAATTTCTATTAATATGGATTCATCTAAATCTTTTAACTATTCTCGAAATAATAATATAAGTTAGCTTAATTTGTTTTGTGCGATTGGCCCATTTTTAATTTATTTAGCAAGAAAATTTTAAATTTTAATATTTATTAGTTAAATAAATATTATATTTTGTGTCTTCACATGAGTGCATTGTGTAATTGAGAGTCAAGAATGTGTGTGAGGTTTTGATTCTCGATTTTGTTTTAGGTTTAGGTGTAAGGAAATAACAAAATATGATTTACTTTATGTATTAGATTTATAAACTAAAATTTTTATACCACCTAAATCTAGTGAACTAAAAGTTATGTTAGATGTTGTACATCGACTTGATCTCCCTTTGTGTGCACATTGCTCAGGGATTGAACTTGCCAACTCTATTGGAATTGTTGTGTTCAAGCTTCCGTTCTCTTGAAAATCATAAGGAGCATTTAAGATGATGACTACTTAGTTTCCATAATAAATAAAGAGCTTTGTATTCATGCCTCTAGCCCATGAATATAGGGATTACTTGGAAGTCCTTAGGGGATTTTTTGAAGATGGCGTTCTTGGAAATGAAGAACTTGTCATATTTTTTCCATCGCAAATTATTAGCATTGGATCTTTCAAATTGTGTGATATGGCAATAGATTTCAGCCATAATATG